ACAGCAGAAAGGGTGATAAATCACGAAATAATTCCTTGGGAATGGATAGTTAAGCTCGTTAAAAAAATTGAAGAAGAGTTGTAGAACTCAGTGAATGATGAAAGAGATAAAGTCACATTGGCTCATTGTTTTCTGTTACTTAACCCCCAATTCATCTAGTTCTTGTGCATATTTGATTTCCATGATGGAGAGTGGCATACAACGCGTGGGGCTCGCGAAACGGAGGCTAAGGGTAAGAGCTCTTAGTGGAGATTATCCGCTGTCAGAAGAGCTAAGGACTACCTACTTCGTGATCCCTCCTTTGGAGGCAGCTACCTCATTGCCACAATTTTATTAACCTTTTATTACAAATCTCGTAAGCAGAAAGTTTCGAAATCTATTTTTTTCTTTCAACACAATCCTGAAGTGGATCAGTTACTTATGTGGTGTCTAGGCATAGTCCTCTACCCTCCTAGTGGCGCTCCGCGGTGAAATTGCTCCTGCTGACGCTATTAGAGTACGACTTGTACTTAAATGACACAACGTCTTTTCCAAACAATTTTTTTGACTTTTTGAATAATTTTTAGAGATTAATGTAAGTAAGATCTGATCTTGATGGTCGTATTTTTTCAACGTTCCTACCACCACTGCATGTCTTTGACTAACCATCATTACGCTCAATTCGTCCTTCGGCAGGAGTACGTTAGCACTTACTTTGCCAAAATCCCATATATTCTCAGAAAAATTCAGTCTATTCATACACAAGGCTTAACTTGAGAGCTTGAGGATTTATGAAACGAAAACTGACTAAAATCGGGCTAATGTCACAGTGAATTGAAAGTAATTGAGTTTCAAAAAATATATTTATAATTTATTTTTAAAAATTAACGGTTCATGTAAAGGTAAAGTTACTTTTACTCCATGCCTTGAACAGACTGTTAGAATACTTCTCAGAAATTTCATTCACACATTCTCTTCCGTCACTTAAATTTGAAGTAACCTTCTGAAATGAGAGGAGTAAAAATTCATAGTATTCTGAAATAAAGAATGTATCCTAAGATCATGCCTAGAGCACTTT